TCCTGGTTGAAAAACTACTTCCCGGTATAACTGCTTCCAAGACTTCGTCTTTCTTATTCAAGTTTTCCATGAATTTTAAGTACATTTCTGTTGGCTGTCCTTTTAAAATATAAGGCAGCCTACCACAAAATTCAAGCAAAATCCAACTCTTACCTTCCTTGGCCCCTACTCTAAAATTGTGAAGTATGACTACAGGAAACTTTTCTTCTCATTTTTATGTTCAATTACTGGGAACTACAGAACATTAAATTTCTCACTCTAAAAACAGCATATTTATAATACCATCAGAATGTACATTGAGTACTACTCACAGCATATGTCTTCTCCAATTACTGACTTGCAAAAACAAAAGCTAAAGTAAGATTCCTTCAGTACAGCTAAAGTTTCAGAAAGCGAGTGCTAAAATAAGCATAAGTAAAAAGCCCAGTGTCAATCTCCATAACCTTGAATGTTCATTAAGGTGTACTCACTTTTTTTTGCAAAATACTCCAATAATTTCTCAACCCTGCTCAAGATATCTGCGTCTGAAGAGCTTTGCCTGAGAACCACATAGCTACATGGATCGTATTTTACTTTGCATTAGATTTACTAATTGCTTACCAAAAGCTGAGAACACTGGCAATTGAAAATGGTCTTACATTACCTTGACAAAACAATCTCACTGATGAAAACCCAATTATAAAAGAATGATGGAGCAACAGTTCCAGGGATTACATTTTTAATTAAAGGTTTTTTGTGTGAAATTACTGGGATATTAAAGAGAAAAATTCCAGTATACTGTTTCAACTAACATTTTATTATTAACCTTTTTGACAAAATTTATTAAGTCTCTTTAGTTCTCTCTGCTATGGTAATTCTGTTAAATTGCATACCCTATTTATTCAAGTTGGCCATCTTGCATGTTTCTACTATGTAATTAGACCTTTTTTTATTGCTTCTGTTGTGATTTTATGATTTAATATAGAGATGCTATTTAATATTCTTTATCAAAGTCTGGCAAGGAATAGTAAGTTGTAGCTGTTTACTCCAGAAAACAGAAAATAATTGGTGAAATGAAAATGCAAACATTTTATATGACGCTTCTAGAATAATAATAATTATTTTCACACAGGGATTTATGGGCTACTTACAGTCCCTTGGATATTTATAAATGATTTCTAGTTTTTACATATCAACACAATGATCCACATATGTGAAATTTCTAACATTTCCTACAGAAAGAAAGAGGAGAGCAAAGGGCCTACAAACAACTGAACTCTTAGCTAAGTCTGTTGAAAGAAATATATGTATAGCCACCTGACACTCCAGCAGAAGGAGGAATAGGTGACTTTCTGAGATTTTCTTCTTGCCCTATTTCATATGACTCTGTTTTGCAGCTGCTGTCTTTTTGAAACTACCACACGTACTTTCCTTTAAGCTTGAAGCTTTCAACATCCAACCATCATTGGTATCTAACTTGAACTACTCCTCCATCTCAGTGATTTATGTCTTTCTACTCTGCTGATGCTGCTGTGCAGCTTTTAAGTCTTCCTCATCTGTCTGCACTCTTCAAAGACACAGTTACAATCTTCAAAAATGAGAACATACTTCTACTTGACCTACTCCAGTTTGGAGACTATTAATCATTTTGCTTTTGTATATCAACATAAAACTGAGTTTTGATTTTCTGCTTGATACATAACAAACATTAGATTCCTCCAGATAATTTTGAGGATTGTTTCCATATGCTTCTTCCTTGCTATTACTGTACGTAAAAACAAACAAACAAACAAACAAAAAAAAAACCAAACAACTCTAATATTTTCTTAAGAAAATTTCAGCCTATGATTCAACTATCCTATCTGAAAAATGAGAAGAGTACCAGATGAAGTGAAGCCTTAAAATTCATTTTCAGTTCATTCATCTGACTGTTGTTTTTGGAATTTGCCTCCTGTTTCCCTTAATTAATAAAAATAACTGGCTACTATCTCATTTTTAATGATTAGTTATAAGCTCGAATGTAAGGTATACTATTGATTTTAATGTCAGTGAATGACATAAAGGAGCAATGAAATCCAAAAGCACTGCAAAGTGGTAGAAATCTGACATTTCTGACAAATCTGACATTACTGGGCCAGCTTTTTTGGTCATGCTTTCTAGTACACGTACAGCTGTTACCTAAGTTTATTATTACCGTACAACTATAGCTATATTTTTAAATTATAATTTTATATACCCTAATACGCAGTTACACCAGGCAGGATATATTGTCTCATATTTCAAAGGCATATATGAAAATATAAATATAATAATGATAGTAATACAATATATATAATATATATAGTAGTAACACTGTAGTCACAAGCATTTAATAATTTTAGATTTTCCTCTCTCTCATTCCTCAAAAGGACTTAGCCTTATCCACCCCATCAACACAACAGTCCTTAAAGCACCTTAGTAACTTAGTACCTAAGATATGCTTTGGGTGCCACAAATCTCACTAGAATTTTCTTATGAAACAAGATCATGTGACTCAGCTTCTCCCAAACCAAATTATTATACAGCCAATATTTGTATAAATTATCATTGGGAAGTCTGGATTCATATTCTTACTCCACTTTATTAGGAACAACATAAAGTTGAGTTGAAGCAAAAACCTTTTAACCTTTTAGCTACCAAGAGTAACCATCTGATATCTTTGACTATATCCTGAACATCACAGTATGTGTAAGTTTAAATTTTTCACCTTTAAACCAACTCCAGATAGTTAAGGTAACATTTACTCCCAACATATATAAATATTTATGATAGCCCTTTCTATAACTTTTTTTTTTTTTTTCCCCCTCCCTGAACTCCTGGAAATTCTTTATCATACATAATTTTCAAAGAAATGCACACATACGCAGTTTTTTTCTGACCTCCACTACCACCTGCTTTCCAGGTGGATATAACTACAACCTAGTAAGTTTTTCTGCTTGGAACTTTTAATATCATAGCTGTTCCAACTGTGGGACCTATTTATTTACCAGTAATCTTAAGAGCAGATTACCATATTCTTAAGACAAAATGATGATATGAAAGACTCACTTAAAATAAAAAATAATAAATAAAACAACAACCACCACAAAAAAACATTTACTTTGCAAAAGAGCATAATTAATTTAAATGAACAATTTAAAAAATAACTCAACTCTTTCCTAATTCAACTTATCAGACAAGGAGACTAGCCTGGAGCCTGACTGACAGTCTCAATCACAGTGACTTTTTTCAAAGGCAAAGACAAAGCCCTTTAGATTAATGACAGTACATGATTCTTTTTTAGCAGTCCCTTCACCTCCATTAACAAATGGAATAAGGTATTGCCAACACCTGTAGCAGTTGCTCACATGAATTATCACAAGCCTGGTATAAAACCATTTTATGTCAATGTAAGAAGAGGAATACAATGATATAACAAAATGAATACATAGCAGCACTTTTTTTTTTTTCTTTTTTCTAGCACCACTTTAGCATGGCTTGCAAACATGCACTATATTGTCCAACACCTTTTTATCCAGGCTGCTGTGTGTGGGAACGTAGATGTGCAGTCAGGTTTAGACGCTGAGCTACCAGAAAATCAAAAGGACTGGTGTAATAATAGTCCATTTTGCACTGATTTCAGGTGGTAAAGCATCATGCTGCCCTATAGATACACGTCTGATCAATTTTACAGTCTTAAAAGAATTGTTCTCCATTATGAGAAAAAAAGAAGTCATGAAATAATTATGTAGAATCTAGAAATAAAATAAAAATAAGTAAATCATGGTTAATCTTGAATAGAAAATATTGCTAGGGCAGCAATATTTTGTTGGTGATATGGTGATATAACATGATGGTGATATAACAGTTGTCAATTTGAAACTATTTCTCTTGTTTATTGTTTTGAATATTTGAACATGAACATGTTTTCATCAGCTTGCTTAAAAGTAAACACCAAAAGCGTATTTTAGCTTTATATATATATATATATATATATGTTCACAATGATCATTTTTTCAAACATTATAACATTCCATTATTATTAGCCCTCAAAATTAAGCATAATTTTCATTCACCAAAACAAATATTAATGTGCAATCTGTAAATTAATGCTGACCCCCCCCACCCCCAAAAAACAACAACAACAACAAAAAACACAATTATAACCTCTTATCACATACCCTCAATGTTTGTACTGATCAACAGCACTAAAAACATGTTTCAAGTCACTTTCCGAAGTGCTGTTTCATCATTTTATCAGGAAACAATAGGATTAACATTAAATCATATCTTCTACTGTGCTGATGTAGGATGAAAGAATATACGAATAACAAGTTGCTTAGGATGGTCACAATGTCATTCGTAGTAAAAGGATCTTAGAGCAATGTTACAATTCTTTGTATGAAATTTCATTTTAGTGGAGTTTTGTAAATAAATCCATTTTAAATTATTTTTTCAATTTAGAGGTTGCATTTCAAAATTCTTCACAGATTCTGACCTTTAATATTTATGTATAATCTTACCTCTTGTCACTGTCACCTGTTGCTAAAGTTGATATCAGGGAAAGGTTTATCTTACTGAATGCTACTGGCATCATTCAGCCTTTGTCACACCTGATAGTTTGTGCACTCCATTTTCCCACATCTTGATTAACACTGCAATTGTCTATCTAGTCCATGAACTACTTTAATATGTTGGACTTTTTAAATATATAGACCTGGTACATATTAAGTCCTATTCATTCTATGCTTAACTAAAGATATTGATATGTGTAATTTACATTTACTCAAACTTCCTAATTTTATGGGTTCTTTTAATTCTAGATCATGCACTTAATGCTTAGATTGCATTCAATGTATACACCATTAGGGTAAGCATATTGGCATGCACAGGCAATACAAGAATAGATTGTAATTACTCCCATAGACAACCAAAAAAGGTGAAGTTGCATCATGCAATGAAATCACAGCTTGGCCTGGACTGCCATGCAGAAAAAAACCTACATCAATGAGTCTGCAGTACGGCTCCTAGGTAAGAGTTGATATGAAAGAGGTGAGTTATTTCAGTAATTATGTCACAAACTGGAAATATTTACACTACTGTAAACAAAATACTGTACATAGCACCAGCACGACTTTTTTTTTTTTTTTGGGGGGGGGGGGGGGGGGGGGGGTTGGGGAGGAATGCTTTTGAAGGACAAAAATTATGAGAAATAGGAGAAAAAAGGGAAGAGGGAAGTACAGTAATCAGTCTGAAATCTAATCTGTCCTTTTTAATAAGCATGTTATTTCATTTGATATAATCTCATTTGGAGCTTTCAAAGAAAACCTGAATTTTCAATGTATTTTGAAATAAAATATCAGATTACATAATGAGATACAGGTCCACAGTGTTCAGTAACTGATGAATAACTGAAGATAATAAATACATAGATATACAACTTCAAAAGATTTCAAGGTCAGAAAGAACTATTTGATCAATTAGTTTATTTTAATGTAACACTCATACAATAGATCCTACACTGTGATGGGGGGGAGGGGGGAAGAAGAAAAAAAAAAGTATGATACCATATTTTTGTGCCATTACAGAAAGATTTGTTCCATATTTTTAAACAGGCATATTGATTATCAAGCACTTTTCCATGACTATATTTAATTAGCGGCAGTCTCTCTATCTGTATTGCAATTGTCACATGTAACAGCTAATTATGTAGGGTAGTAATTCATGGAACATCAAAAATAGTTTCATCAAGAAAACTACAGTATTATTTACTGATCAAACTTTTCAATAGAAACTATTGTTCCAATTACAGAACAATAGTTTTTGGTATCAATTTTACTCACTTTTCACAGAAACAGAATCCACAGTCATGACTGGTACCTTTAGCTACTATGTGCTATTAACAAGGATAGGAAGGTGTTTCCTTACTCAAGATGTGAACGTTTTCTTGAGTATACAAGTATGCTGTACATATGTTATGTACGTATATGTACAACATAATGTTGCCCTGTACCTCCAAATACTATTGACTAAAAATAGTCATGAAAATGCTGATGGAACACAGAACTTGCCTTTGCTTTACAATCTAGTCATTCGGGATATGAGCACATCAATTTGAAAACAAAATTAGAAGAATCAAATCCTCAGTATCTGCTACTTATTCAATAGAAGATAACCAAAACTACAAATGTGAGGATCTCTGAAGATCAGGTTAAATTACAGTTATAAGTATTTCTACTTACAGACTCCATATATTTCACCTAGGTTATTCACACAGAGGTAAGCATATTTGTCTTGTCTAAATAGTGACTGAAATTGCTAAAAATATCCTGCACTGCTAGGAACATTTTAAAGCAAACTGGTCCTACCTACTCACTAAAGAAGATTCATTTGTACATTCAGAACCTTTTTGTCTAATCTGTTCTGAACACTTACATAAACAAAGACTTGAGATCTCTAGATAGCTTGTTTAAATGCTTCATAGCTCTTAAAAACAGAAATACATCCAGTCCAATCATTATTAACTTCAATAATTAATGACAAGCTTTAATCTTTATTATTCTTAATTGCTTTTGTTTATACTTAAGAAAATGTTTACAGCAACAAGAATTTTTCCCTCTGATTTCAGAGGGAATTTTCTAACCTCTTGATGTCCTGGCCATTACTTGCTTTCAATACATGTAAGCTTCCAGAATCTAAAAAAAATACCGTTTTAGCATGCTGCTTTAATTATTTTTGCTTAGATTTACTAAAGCTAAAATTGATACTTTAAAGAAACCTAATAATTAAAGCTTCTGGGTACTTCTAAAAAATACAGTTTATTGCATGTTACACATTCCATATTCTAGGACATTTATAAATATTTTTCTAGTAATTGCTTTTCTCTATGTACTGTTTTTCTACTGACATTTCACAATTTCCTTGCTTTTAGTCAGATGTGCTGTTAAAGTGAAATCACAATTCAACAGAGGTACAATAAAAACCTAATTAGACATTCATCTGTATTTTCCTAAGTATAAAAAGAAGCAAAGACAAAACATTAAAGCTCATTTACAATTGAAGGTTTATATTAATGAGGCTGATAAAAATTTATTATGTGAAGTGATACATAATGCTTCAATAAGGAACCTGACAAAATTTCACTTATTCCTTTAATAATAAACATAAATGAGAGAGAGAGAGAAAGAGATTCACCTTGATATTTCACTATGTCACTACATTCACTAACTGAAAATTAGCTTACTCATAAAATTATATTATACAAGATAGCAGGCTATGGATAATCTATTTTCCCTATGGTGGAAGCACTTAAGCCTGATGATTAAAATGAAGATCTGCAACAATGGTGCAATAAGCAACCTGTATTCTCAACATAAAAAACATCCATCAACCAATATTACTGCAACTGTATTACATCACATGTTATAATAGAAATTAAATCACTGTAAAGCATTATTGTCACAGAAGTTTTTGCTTTGGAAAATAAGTAGTCAGCAAAGGAGATTATTGTTTGTTATTTCTATGTTCCATAATATGAAATAGATATTTACTCATCAATTAGAATTTATTGTACTGAACTACAACGCACTACACTGACTGTTTAATGGAAAGCTAGAGAGATGAAATAATGATTTACATATTTTGAATAAAAGGATTTACTCCACAGTTCCTTTCCTAAGATACAAAAATCCAATTTATGTAATATCAGAATAAAATTCTACATTATAGATGTCTGTCTACATGTTATATCTGTATTCCAGTTCTGAGCCTGTATAAAGCAAAGTATAAAAATCAGAAAATAATTTGTCTTTTGACAGTATAAGAACTAATATTTAACACTAGAGAAAGAGGAATTACTGTTACAATTATATACTGAAAGCTCTTTCCAATGAATACAAAGCAAAGAGTGACTCGAGACAAGACTATTAAACCAGTCCTTAGTAGTTATACCTTCTTATACAAAGGTAGACTGACACCACATCTCCATCCCTGAAAAATTCTTAAGGGCTTATAGGACCCTTTAAGGACCATGCTAGTTTGTCCCTGTCTGCCAGGGATTTTCTCTATAATGTGCTCTTATATGCTGCCATAACTATTTCCAAAAGGGCCTACCTTTTTCTCAGATCTGTAAGTAGTTAAAGGATTGACATGTAGGCTAATAAAAATATACAAAAGAAAAAAGAAAAAAAAAAAAGGAAAAAGAAAAAAAAAAAAAGAGAGAAAAAAAGAAAAAAGAAAAATGAAAAGGTAGACAAAGCCACTATCTAGCTGCCTTCTGACCAAGAAACCACAGTTGCCCTTGGTCAACTGAAATGTGTTACTCCTGGACAAGAACATTGTCTTCCATGATTAAAGGGCAATCTATTCACCTGTGTTCTCTGTTCAGGGACGCCTCTGTCTTCCCTTCATTCACTAGTTTATCCACACTCCTGGTCCCTTTGCCAACTCAAACTAGAGGGAAAAGCAATGTTATATTTTCTCTTGTACTAGAAATTGAATTAAAACTACCTAATACCACTTTAAAACACTTGCATCAGTGTTTTCCATACAAGTGAATCAACAGTACAAATACTACTGACTGTTAAGTTAAAGCAAGGACAGAAACCTCTGGTTCTGCAGAATATATTTGGGATAAGATGCACAACCACTGAGCAGGTGTTGCAATTTTATTTATGAAATACAGAACAGAAAGACATAGGAGATGAATAATTTTCTTTAAGTAAACACTGCAAAAGGGAATTTTAAAAATAAATAAAATCATTTTACATTCTTCCAAAAGAGCATATCTACATAAACACACTTGGTAAGATAGGGCACAGAGATGACCCGGAAGCTTAGAGATAACAAGAAGAAAAGCAGGATGCAGCAAGTGATTTCTGACCCTAGTGACTGAGTTTCCAAATTCTTGACTAGTCAAGGGCTTAGGGCAGAATAAGCTAAGGAAACAGAACAGATGAGAACTGTAAGCTACAACCTATTCATGGAAACAAGAGTTTTCATTATAACACAAATTAGTAGGGTTCTAAGTTGTCAAATGTATTGGAGGAACTAGGAACAGCAGTATACAAGGAAGGCTTGGAAAAGTTTAAGTAATGGAGTAGTAGATAAGATAGTAGATAAGTAGTAAGGGCCAAAACATCCTGAGATAGATGCTAATCTCTCTAGATACTAATCTCTCTCTGATGATGGCTATAATAAAAATGTTTCTATTCAATATCTGCTTTTCTAAAAAGTAGTCATGTACTGAAATAATCATTAGCCACTAAAAGGGACTAGTGTAGTGGAAGACTTACCAGGATTTTGCTTTTTGGACCAGTTGGTTCTCAAGTATTATTTCTAATGTAACGCACTTGATCAAAGAGCTTAAGTTAAAAAACATGTATTAAACATTCTTACACAGTAGTATTGATTAGCTTGTTAGCACACCCATTATCCAATTGTTGCAGAAACCTAAATCTAGTGGTCTATAAGTAAAACACCAGTGTGAAAGTTTTTATGGGTTTTCTACTTTCACGATGAAAATGCCAAAGGATGTTTTTTTGTTGTTTGTTTTTTTTTTTAAATGAAGTGTCAGACTGACAGACCTAAAATTCTGAGTTCAATAAGGGCCGGAGAGGAAGTTCAGAGACTTGATAAACATTTTCAAAAAAGTGTTGCTAATGGTTTTATTAAATCCAACAAGCCAACAAAACTTCAAACAAAATTTCACTATTTAGAAGTATTTCTAATTATTTTTTTTTACTAAATCTACTGAAAAATAAGACTAACATTATCATACTATCTAGTGAAATTTATGTATTTGACTCCAAAGCAATATGATCTTTGGGCTGAACCTTCATGTCCTGCTAAATTCAGCAGCAGTTCTTAGTGCTCAGTACTTCTGTAAATTTAGCCATTTATTATAGTGAACTCAGATGTTTATTTTTGGATACTAAACTTTGAAAAAATAACACTGAAAATTGCCACAGATTATAATCTGGATAATAGAAATTGGGGAACCTTTTTACTTCTACCACTGTAGAAGCTA